GGAGGATCAAGATATGAGTATCGAGGAGTTGAGGAAGATTGTACAACGCCAGAAGGAACTGGGGATTGCTATCAATGCCGAGTTGGAGATTCAGAATGAACTTCTGAAGCTTACGGATGAAGATACGGACAGGTATGTATCAACCCTGGTTCCAGCCTTAATAGCCCATTTTAACGTCTGTCGCCTAAAGGTTACAAAAGAAGATCGAAATCGGGAAGAAGAGAGTTGGCAAAATATCTTAATTTGGCGTCTCACGGGCACTTCCGCTTCTACACAGTTCTATTCACTGTTTTTGAACCATTTAGAGGAGCGACTTGCATGTTATTTTTGGCAGTTGAGCGGGCTATCTCTTTGTACTGTCTCTAATCTACTCTGGCGGCGGCACCGTCTGAAAGCTCGTCAAATTGGTATCTATTGTCACTCTTTCCCGTCATTGCTAGCTAATACATCCTGCATCAAGATTTGTCAGATTGGGCCGACAAGAACTAGTTGTCATAGAACGTCAGTTTATGCTTCCGGAACTCAATGATATCGAACACTCACCTCTTTCGCCTGTTCCTCAGTAATATCTGATTGATCAGATTCACGCTGGCTAATCAGCCCCAGCTTACTGCGGCGAAGTAACCACCAAAGTTCTCGCCGATCGCCACCGAGTTCCTCCTTTAACAACTTATCTTTCAGCTGCCTTAGAAAGTCATTGTATAACGCGGGCTCCTCGAACGAAATAAGCTCATCCCGCATTACTCCCATCTCCTCGGTGACCCTGTCATAGTTTGCATCACCAAGACTATTCTTGATCTGATCCTCAATAATTGACGTCATCTGCTTTACGGCATCTTTGATCGTCTCGATCGTTTCTGCCTGTGCCAGAGTCTGTTTGAACTCGGGGATCGCATTGGTGGGAGAGATTCTGGCGCGTTTCTCTTGGTGGAGTAAGGCATCAACGTCGAGACCAGAAAGCGGTTTCTCGCTCTCACGAACACGCTTGCGTCCTTTGACCTTGGGTGGTACTAGAAAATGGTTAGCAAGTGGTGACACCTGCCGAGGGAGACTGCTTGGAGCGAACCTTTCTTGACATCGGCGGCCGCCATAAGCTTTTGTAGATAAGGTTCTGATTTCTCTACCAGGTCTTGTGGCGGCAGAGAAAGCTTGGTTAGATGCTTTGAGGGCGGAGGCACTGGGTCATTTGGGTGTGTAGCACGGTAACGGATCGCAGAATCAATGCGATGCAATACCGGCGAAAATGAGTCGTCGATGGGAATGCCCTCTACCGGATTTCTGGTGGCATATTAGCGGGAGAGCACAGACTAGTACTAATCGATGGACTCACCCGTCCTCGTCGGTATCAACAAGGTCCATGCTATCCACATATTCACTCATTGCATCAAGCAAATCCTTGTTCGGCAGATTTCGATGCTCGGTTACTACTTTGCCAGAGACAGTGATCACCTTGTCCAGAGGAGGGAAACGATACGTTCTGACATCTTCGGCGAATGGTAGCTGGACCTCGAGGAGGCACTCATAGTCGGGTTCAATTGAAGGAGCAAGCAACACCATGACAGGAGGCTTGTTCTCTTTGACCACCAAGCGAGCAACGGCGTAGCACTCCAGTTCAAAGAGAGCATGAATGAAGGACGATAGTGCCAGTGAGGCTTTATCATTGCCACGTTGCCCGATGATAATATTGGTTGTCGACATGTGCATATAGCGATCATACTAGTAGATTAGACCATAAGTTCCTGTTTTCCACGTGCAAATCAGAGGAGCTAAACTCACTTTGTCAGTTTGTATGAACCCAACCAGTTCCAATGCTGCGTACGTTTCGAGAGTTGTGATGTTCTCATCTGTCTCGCTGATATGTACTGCCGTCCGTCCGTATTCGTACCCCTTGGCCAGTTCCTCCCGCTCCACGTCAATTTTACCGCCAGGAGCATTCTCATCAGGGACCTCGTATGTTCTCAGGTTCCTGACGCTTGTGAGAGAGCCACCCTCCAGAGGGGACTTTGGTGCTTCAGACGATTTGCCTTGCTCTTCTTCGGCTCCCACGTCTGAGCGTGGCACGAAGCTACTTGCGCTTGGAGGCTTTGCCACATATGTCCGATAGTACCGTTCGACCGGAATTCGAAGAGCAGTGTCATACTCCTCTGGGTTACCTAGTTGTAGGAATCCTTTGAAAGTCGCTACCGTTCTAACCTTCTTGACCCGCGGAATGTCCATCTCTGAAACAGCTTGTTCCAGCGTTCCATATGCGCCGTCACAATCTTCAACAAGTCCGCGGAGAAGAGCCTCGTTCTCGGCCTATGATTGTCTGTGAGAAAGATCATTCCTGGTAGCACGATAAGTCTTTACCTTCTGCGGATCCTTTCCCTCCTCTTTGAAGCCATACTCGGGGTCGTCAAAGTCAGTGCCTCTGGATATAGTTAGCACATTGCCTCGTGCCTTCTGCCGGTATTACTGACAAAACAACCAACTCGATGTTATCTTCCTTGATTTTCTTCGTTATCTGGTCGAGATCCTCATTGCTCATCCATCCCAGACCGTTTGTGACCAGCACGATTCTCCGTTTATACTTCAATTTTTTGCAATATGTGACGATCATTTGGATAGCCAAAATGATGGCGGAAACAGCTTGAAAGAGTCAGAATACTTCCCATATCTTGGGTAACAAAAATATGAGAAGGTTGTTTACCATCTCCCTTATCAGTCTTGCTCGGCTTGATTAATGCATCCAATCTTCGGATATCTGGCATAAGAAATCTGGTACATTAGATGAGGAGTAAATGAAGCCTGCATATAGAAAAGACGTACTGCTGAATTTCAGAAAGCACGGATATGTGTTTAAAATGGGGATCATCATCAAGCTCGTTGGAGGTTCCTGTTCTATGTTAGTAAAGAACAGAGTCGGAACTTCTTGATCTATTGGTCTCACCGTCTGTCTTCAGCCCAATAACACCGATTGTGGCTGTTTTGCGACCTGTGGCTACCTAATTACCCACAATTAGCAGCAAATTCATAACATCTCATGCTTAATAGTATCCTCACAGTTGCTGTGATGCGATCCCAAACATATTGCATGGCCCATTCAAGATCCGTCACTGGTCGGCCATTGCGCTTCTCCCCCATGGATCTCCCTACATCCACGATATAGACTGTTGCTTCCTTTTCCGCCATGATCTCAAGATGCTCTAGAAGAGAAATTGAGTCAGGAGATGATGGAATAGAGGGCCATATAAAGGTTGGTCATTATATGGATAGACAAACACGACACTCCAGGCAGACGCGCGATACTTCCCGATTAGGGCGTTAGGCCGAACGCGAAGGCACATGACATCATTAATTGAAAGGTGCGTCGATATTGTACATAGTGAGTGTACTTACTTTAGCACCAATAAAGGCCGTTGCAACAATTATCTTTCAACGGACAGAGTGCGTTGAAATATGTTCCGACATTCCCTAGCTCTCCACATCCGACAACCATCTGACCCCGTCCCATCGTCTTCTCTGCATCAAAAGATCCCAGCTCGTCCCTTGACCGATTATAAAGTGTATCATTGATTGTTGGACAGGCAATATGACTGATCCTCGTCCCTACCATCTGCTCAGGTACGGAATCCTGGTTATGAGGATGTGAACACGTCGCTAACGTCTGTCCCAAGCTACGGGACCCTATTGGGTGTGCAAGTGTTCCAGGTAAACCTCATTCTGCCAGCTAGATATCCGCTACGCTGTTAACATCAGAGCGTAACAGACATTTATTGGGGGCGTCATTGCTTTCCGAGTGCTCCCTCGTCCTCAGTTCTCAACGTTGCAGACTGCGATATTCCCCGTGTACTTCACGCTGCAGTCCGCACTTCCCGTAGTTGTCGCCTTGACTTCTAGCAAAGGTGGCCAGCTCAATGGCATTTCCGGACTTCTTGCTCCTGAGAATCGATTTGGAACACTCCTGCCTCTCGCAACTGTTGCAGTGAGTGGCCTGATCAATCAGGTCATCCTGCGCCCACTCACTGTCAGGACGATGAACGAGAGGAAACATCAGGGTATGCTTGCGGGCCCTCATCCCATCGTACTTACTGGCTGCTAAATTTCTGCAGAAACTCGTGATGGCAAGAAGAGCTACGACCCTGCACCCCACTCAAAGGAGATGGTGGCTCTAAACAAGAAATTCGGAAGACTTCATGGCCTGTCAAGTTTGATCAACATGGTCAGCCTTGCTGCTACGATTTATTACGGTGCAGTGCTTAGCAAGCGCTTGTCTTGAAGAGCTCTCTGAGTGGAACTTCTCTGTTGATCGCTAACCTCAGGACTGCTTACTGTTTATCAGACTCTTCCTTTATGTTCTTAACGCTCTGTATATATCGTTCCAACAAGTTGACCATACATCGGCCCGTCTTCAAACTTAAGAAAAACTCTTTAGATACCTCGTTTTCTGTTGCAGTGGATGGCGCATGTACCTGGATTCCGCTTTGAGATTTCTAGACACATTATCCACAGCGTTTGGCTCGGAAGGTTTCTGGCTTCGGCTATAAAACTGGTGTCACTAACCTGAAACAAAGCAACAGGTCTACAGCCGATTTGTATGTTGTATTCTTGTACCCATGTCAAGCACATCTGCTGCCATACTTTGATTTAACTGAGACATGTACGTGGAGTGACTGCTTCAAATATTGAGCCATTCAACTCTTTGTCGCAGAGGTGACCATAACCCATTGATAATCGTTCAGCATCTGGATATTTATCTTCCCTTCTTCCTCACTTCGTCTTGGCAGGGTCAGAAACAAGAAGGCCTGCTCTCCCCTTATCGATTTTTATCCTCGCGCAATCTTTTCCCGTTATCCTCATTCTCAGCTTAACTGTGGTCAGCCTGCCGTTGCAAGATGTCTATTCTGTCCGTTGCAATCGTCGTGGTCACTGTCGTCAGCCCGATCTTCATATCAGCCCTCCAATCAATCTCAGAACACCTGGCTTGCGCCAATATCTATATTTCGAGAGTTCTCGGAAGAATGTCTGCTTTCACGATTGACGGCATCATGAAAAAGCTTGATCAATGGCGGGCACACGCTTCATACATAAAGCCATCCTCCGCTTCCACGCCAGTGCCTGAGTCCGGTATCGCGTGCCTAGGCACCGATAATCTCCACAAGAACCACACATTATTTGACCCAAGCTTAAATGAGCTGGGCTTACTGTGGCGCGGTCAACTCAGTCAGGATGCTGTCTTCACGTCAGGCCATCTTGCCAACAGGCCGACTTTCGGAACTCTGTATCGTGAAGGGCTACTTATCAACCGGCAAGTTTTGCTTTTCGTTATGGTTGTTCTGTTGATGATACCAGCAGTAACATCCATATTCACTTGGTATTCTCGCAGGCACTGTCTCCAAGTAGCGAACATTGAGATTCTAGATTTCATCAGCGAAGTCCGTTCCCGGAAAGTGTTTCTGTTGAAAAGGATGAGCTCCGCTGCTTCAATGCTGAACGGCCAAGTTGACAGCATCATGAAGCAGATAGCGATGGAGAATGAGCGGATTTGCGCTGAAATACCCACTTTCATTGATGCTGAAGTCAGGGAACTGCGCGATGCTCTTGAGACACAATTCCAGAACGAATCTGACCACTATATCCTGGAAGTGAAGAGTTTTGCGCACAAATTGGAACGCGCACGTCGAAGCTTTCCAGATCCTGGAGCTATTGAAGTTGAGTGCAAGCATTTCCGATCTGAGCTTCAACGCTGGAGACAGCGGGGCTCAAATAAATGAACAAGTACAGACATCCGACGATCAACGCCGCGCGAGTGCCCATTCTGAGCCGATCAGTCCCAGGACTTCAAAACCAGCCTCCATTAGTGGTCCAAAGCTATCGCCCGTAGCAGGCTGGGATGATGTAGCTGCAAAGCACGACAAAGCAGATACAGCGCAATCGCGAGCAGAACATAACCAAGAGGTTGAGAAGGGCCACGAATCTGCTGCATTGGGAACTCAGCTCGAAGACACTTTAGCGCAACCGAAGTCATCAGAAGGAACCCAGTCTCCTCAGACACCGGGGTCTGCGAAGGGCAATTTATCCGGGAAGCACACCCCAGAAGCCCTCCGTCTGAAGCCGGAGACATGTACCTCTGCAAGGTACGAGAAGAACCAAGGGCCTGGCCCGGCTTCGGCTCAGTCGCCTTCAAAGCCCAACACTGAGCCTACCTCTGCTGAACTGGGCAAGAGTAGGTGGGCTCCCTTAACTCCGACCCAGGCTCAGCCCAAAACCCCTACTCGCGCAGGAGTTGAAGGGGGCCGGTTTGCTACGCCAACTGTAAACCAGCCGCCTTCGAAGCCAAACACTGAGTCTGCCTCCGCCGGAATGAGCAAGAGCATGTGGGCTACCTCTACTCCAACCCAGGCTCAGACTAAAGCACCTACTCGTGCAGGAATTGAAGGGAATCAGTCAGCTAGCCCGGCTTCAGGCCAAGCTCCAAAGCTGGCTGCACCCGCTTCTGCCGAAATGAGCAAAAGCAGGTGGGCCGATGAGTCTCCAACCGCGCAGAGATCAAAGAGCGTTTCCTTGCCCTCCGCAAAGAACCCGAAAGGAGACCTTGGCGAAACTTTTTGAAATCAAGGGCTTAGTTCAAGGTTGATGCTCTCCTAGTAGTCAAGTTTGATTTTTAGTTCCATCTTTTGTTTTCGCGGTTTGTTTGCTGCTCCGTGTGCCACGAAATCACTCGTCTTTCGTCTGGTTCAGTTTGGAGAATGCTGGGATTGGTGTTCTATGTGGGTTGTTTCATTAGTTTCTGCTGCCTGAGAGCGAGATCCGGTTGTTTGGGACAAGCCGTGTTCGTTCACATAGTTGCAAATGTAAGATCTTTCATGTTGATTCGCTCTGGTGAAAGCAAAGTCTAATCGATCAAGGGTATCATAATCGTAAAGCCAAAAGGCAGTGCACTGCAAGCTACAACGCCCAAATCAACGAACTGAAGTCTTCAACAGCAAATTCACACGGTGGCCATCTCAATCAGGTATTTTCGACAGGCAGCCTTCAGCATGTCGATCCGTCTCTGAGTATGAATGAAGACCTCGCGGTACATGTCCAGACTCTCCTGAACAACCTCCTGTCGCGATTTGGAGCCTGCACAGATCTCACGCATACGGAGCTCCATCTCCTTGCGCAGGAAGGGCTTGCTGAGAGACGGTTTATCCGGTAGATTGGCGACAACGTTGTCATAGCCTTCCACTAAGGCAATACCTAGGCGAGTTGGGATGAATTCCTTCACAGCGTTCCGACCACTTCCACGCGAATGAAGGGCGACATACTCGCGCTCTTTGATTTTGGCAATGTGTTCGGCCATGGTGGCGTCCGTCCCTATTCCGTTCGCGTCCATGAGCCCTATGAGTTCCGGCTCGGTCAAGTAGTTGGGGGCCGTTGTCTTGCCCTCGAAAATGTTGGCTTCAGTCGGCACGAAAACTTCACCCACCCGGAAGTTGGGTAGTTGTTGGCTACTCTCCCACTTGTCATACACGTAAACTTCAAGGTAGTTCTTTTCCAGAACGATCAGTCCGTTGGCGTGAAACATCTCGTCGCCATATTGGATCTCAATCTCGGTGCTTTGACCTTTTGCATCATCGGAGCAGCAAGCGAGAAACCGCCTGACTACAAACTCGTAGACTTTCTTCTCCTCAGAGTTCAGTGCACTTGGTGAGACCCAGCATACCGGGTGGATAGGTGGATGCGCGCGGTCATTGTGGCGCCCAGAACGAGGAGTTTTGAACGCGCCATTTATGAGACTTCATAGTTGAGAGAGTCAGTAATGTCAGAGAATGTCCGCTTTAGAAAATACTTACCCTCGGGCGTATTCACCCCAGTTGGTATCGGGGAATTGCTTCTCAACTAACTTCTTTAAATCAATCCCTTTGTCAAATTGATCCGTCTCAGTACGAGGATAGCTGATGTAACCTTTGGTATAGAGAGATTCTGCGGCCTAAATCATGATAAGCTTTCTGGTGAGAGCTTAAGAATGTTGTACACACTGCATACCTTCATAACCGCCGAACTGTCCATGCGAAGGTACCTGCTGCCCATCATCTGTAAGTCTACTGTTGTTAACGGCAGAGGTCTCCATTTGCTGGTAGGCTTTTGGTTGACTTTCGTAACTTTAGCGGTCTTTGCTAGCAGACACCTTTCCAGCATGACGGTCACGGCCGCCCTGTCGAAAAGATGGACTCTTCTCCACAGGAAGTTGACCTTTTTTCTTTCTTGGACGTGCATCACCTTAATTCCCCAGAAAGTTTCCGGCTTGAAATTCTTCACTCGTAGATATCGATCAACCACAAATCCCAGTGTAGGGAATTGACATGATCCTGTCGATCGAGTCAGCTAAGATGGATGCTTGAATGAGGAAAGCTCAAAGGTAGGCGAACGACGTACCGTAACTGATGAGTTTCTTTGCCAGATCAGCACACATACGTTGTAGTTGAAGACTCTGCAGTCGGGTGAATGCAGCACCAATTCGAAGGTCGAGTTCAATTCTGGCAGCAACTGCATTTGCTTGGTTCTCATCCACATCTATGAGGGCCCGAGCAGCGCGTAGAACATGCCTGTGATCAGGTGAGCATTGGTGATGGAAAAGAGCTATATATCATCCATATACACTTACGCCCTCTCCGTGTTACTGAATCGCGCTCTTTTGACCAGAATACGCTGGTTTCCCTCCTTGGCTGTTTTGCGGACTTCAGTACCGATGTGCTCTCCCTCTCGATCACAGTCAGTCCAGATAAATAGAGCCTTCGACATCCTGGCCTGCTCCATAATGTTTTCTGCGATCGGTTTCTTCTCCTATAGACAGAGTTAGCCTTGCTCCGTGGTTCGAGAAATGCCCGTGATCAGGCCCTTGACGACTGAAAACAAGAGCTTGATATTGCATACTTCTTCCACAAATTCGCGCACAGGAGCTTCAAAGAGTGCGCCGGGTGGGCATGAGAGCCAGCTTTTGTATTGACTCTCAAAATCGAGGGCCATCAAATGTCCCAGGACGCTGGTCATTGTGACTGAACAGGTGCCCCAGGGGTCACCGAAATTGAACTCAAATAAATAATTCTTCACATATTTATTGCCGTGTATAGATATCTATGTCTATCTCAGTATATGTGACTTCAATAAGCCCTGCCGTCTCAAGCCAACGGTCACTCACAGTTTGCATGGAACCACCAGAAAGATGCTGAGCCACAGCTTTAGCGATGGCAGGTTTCTCTGCCACGCAGAGAACCCTTGGGATAGGCATAGCAAATAGCCTGTCGATTCAAAAAGTCTCGGTTATGCCATGCTCGATTCGCCCTTTTTGACAGTCTGGTCATGAGCCCGACATTATTGCTTCCTCGAATAGAGGAACAATCGAGACGCGAAAAAGACGCGACCAACTTCCAGAAACGGAGATAGTAGATGTCTGCCTGTCTGCCTGTATGCCTGGGAGCCTTGACGCCTGAGGCATCCTTGTCATGCTGGGGTTGGCCCCAATCTTCTTCGCCCAAAGCGGTAAGCATACCGTCCAATGGGAACGCATGTCCGCGTTGTCATGATGGCATCTCTTTGTTTTGCCTCGATGTTTTGATTCTCCTCGATCAACAAGAAAACTCCCAGAATCGCCGTCGGGTGTGCAATAGCTCCAAACTGCGACACCTGTTCTGAAGTTCTTTGAAATGGCGATTCCACTTCCTCAAGTTCACTCTGTTGTGGACTGTGCCTCTTTCAACCGCACCGTGCTGCCCTTCCTGTCGCAGTTGACAGCGCTTCCTACGCAGCTGCAAGTGGCCGCCGCAACGAAAGATGTGGACGCTCTGAAGGATATTTACCTTTCGACAAACCCGTTCATCTCGGCGCTCGGGTTTACTTTGGTTTTGTGGGTGCTCTTCGTCGTGGCCGCGGAAATCAACCGCAACTATTCGCAAGTTGATCGGTTTTGGAGTATCCTGCCGGCTGTGTATAATGTACATTTTGTCGCTTGGGCACGTATGTGGGGCATTAAGAATCAGAGCCTGGATACAATCGCACTCATCACTTTGCTCTGGAGTGTAAGTTATATTAACGCGACGACTTTGTATCTGCCGGCTCTAATTCCGCTTAGGTCCGATTGACCTTCAACTACTGGCGCAAGGGAGGTTATCAGATTGGTTCTGAGGATTACCGCTGGGAGATCGTGAAGTCCCAGATTAATAACCGGTTCCTCTTCTTCCTGCTCAACGTCACCTTCATCAGCTTCATTCAGCCAATGCTGCTTCTCCTTGTGACGGCGCCTACCTACAACTTCATTGTCCTCTCGCGCCTCCCTGGGTTTGAACCGTTCGGTCTCCCCGACCTCGTATTCTCTCGCCTCGCATTCTTCTTCCTCATCATCGAATACTTTGCCGACCAACAGCAATGGAACTTCCAAAGCGCAAAGAAGGAGTACCAGAAGACAGCTCGCATCCCCGACCAGTACAAAGGTCAATACACACCAGAGGACCTGGAGCGTGGCTTCGTCGTTAGCGGTCTCTGGTCACTGTCCCGTCACCCGAATTTTGTCGCCGAGCAAGCGATCTGGCTCACACTATACCTGTGGAACTGCTACCGCACCGACAACTACATTCAGTGGACTGGACTGGGTGTTTTGGGCTACATGCTCATTTTCCAGTCTAGCACCCGGCTGACCGAGTCGATCAGTGCAGGCAAGTACCCTGAATACAGCGAGTATCAGGCGCGTGTGGGACGCTTCATTCCTCGTTTTTCTGTCAAGCCCAAGTACAATGGCAGCAAGAAGAAGGCCCCTCGGTCCAAGACTGAGCCGGCAGGCGCTGGTGATCGGGCGACGCAAGAGGGCAAGAAAAGTCAGTGATGGGAGAGGGTCATGGATGCTGGGTTTCTGTGGATTTGTATCTCTTTACTTTGATTTCTGGGGTACTGGATGACTGGAGTTTCTTAATATATATATTGTCAGTTTTGAGTGAAATTTTGATGTCTGTTTTCGGTTGGAGTATTGGATCCGCTATATCAAGTTTTGGTCAGATATGTTACCAGGCGAACACAAGGCCTAGTTCAAAGGAATATGAAAAACCTAAGTTGTATAGCGTTCTAATCGTGTCAAATTGGTACTCCACCACCTCAGACCTAGATGGTCACCTAATATACAGGAGTACACCAGATGAGTCTATAATCGGAAGTTGAAACGCGAACGAGATGAGTGAAGAGGAAGGGAAATGCAGAGACATCACAAAAATCCTAATATTTATGATACAAGTGAAAGCCAACGGGGAGAATAAGATATGAAGGCAGCGGAGATGCTTCAGTCATTCAATAAATACAAATCCTGGCATAAAGAAACATGTAACACCCCTCCTCGCCTGGCCATGAATATCCCGCTGTTTCTATAGTTCGTCGCCTACGAGGGTGGGTTAGCACCCTCAGAACCTTCAATTGGCGGCGTAGGCTCGGGAGGAGCAATGGTCTGTCCCTGGGCGGCGCCAAAGTACTTGGCGAACTCGCCAGAGTCGGGATAGGGTCTGGGACCGAGGAGTCTAATCATGTCATCACGGCTGAGGACTTCCTTTGCCAGGAGCTCTTCCGCGACGATGCCAACTTCCTTCTTT